AGTCCCACTTGGACTAAATCTCCTCGACGTGTCTTGATCCAATAACGAAAAACAAGAGTTCAAAAAAAAAAAAAGTATACATGTATTTAGCCCCTCATACACCTTTCTTTATTTTTGGTCGTCAAATTGAATAAATTAAATGAAATCAACCATCAGGATTAAACATCATGCGTGAAAAAGTAAAAAAGGTGTTCGTTTACCATTTCCCTTCCATAACCCAACTCAACAAACATTCCACCCCACTAAAAGCCAATAAATAAAAACTTGTCCCACCATCCTACTCCACCACCATGGTTTTGGTTCGGCCACGATTTTCTCTACCGGCCAAAGACGTCAAGCTCAAAGATATGCCAAGGCAACACACTTGGCTTTCTATCACCGTCCTTTTAATCTCTAACTCACGGTCGAAGACGAATGACGTTTAAGAAGACAGTAAATCTTGGGAAATCAGGTTCATCACAACAGGTCCCTTAGCATTCTAGGTCTTACGGAAATCAGAAGGAATCCAAAAGGGTCATACCGGTATATAAGAAGTGCTTGGCCGGAGAATTTGACGCTGAATCTGATCTTACAACGTGGTTAGTGAATCAAATGTGGGAAACCATCTTCGGTGCTGTACTCCTAAACTCCATAAAAATGAGATTTAAGGATAGAAAATAACAAAGAAGAAAACTGTCAACCCCCAAAGTTATTGCAGGTATAAAGTTCTAAACAAACTCTTGAATCCGCAATAGAACAAGAAAAAGGAGAAGGAGAAACAGAGGAGAGAGAAAGGGTGAGCGAGAGAACGAGAAGTTCCACTACTTTCTATTGTCAGTTTTGTACAACATGCAACGGTATACATCCTAAATAGAGCTTGATATGATCTTGCCAATGAATAATTACAGATTTCACCATTCAAGTCACAGATACAATGCTGTTTTACCGTAAATATAAGGAGACCACTAATTGCAAAAAAATTATGAATTCGCTTACTACGGCAGCAGGAGAGTGGATGCCAAGAAATGGAACAATGTCTACTTGCAGAAAATTCTCTACAGCTGAACCCACCACGGCACCAGCAACAAGCCCCCCTACAGTTATGATGGTCGCCTTCCCTGCAAAGGTGAACGGAAAATTAGTCCAAATTACTTAATGCCTAATCTCAGGTTTAGAAAAACAGACAAAAAATCTATGGAGCCTGAACTGCATTAAGTAAATGCACTTATCACAGATCAGATGCAGAAAATTTCAGAAATACCCTTTTATTAACCAATCGTTCTCAAAGTTGGAGATAGATAACCAACCTGACTAAACAAACCCATGACTTTCATTCATGATTGACAAAACCATGCTAAACGATAAGACAAAAAAAAGTGAATACAAGGATTTATGACATAGAAACTTGCAGGTAATCACCAATACAGTAAGGACATCTAATAAGCGACAATAAGGAAATGCCTGTACATAAGAAAACTCCATACCTAACTTAATATTCTTTTTGGTCATGAAGTACAAGGAAGCTCCAAAGCTACCAGCCAGGATCAGTCCAGGAACATCAGCCCCTCCATACGGCCCCGAAGAAGAACCCGAAGCTCCATTGACATAAGTTAAGGCCATCAAAGCTCCATAGACACCAACTTGTACACCCAGATCACTTGTCGAGGGCGTTTCCACTGCAATGGGTGGATTCTTCACAGTAGCCTGCAGCCACTGCGGCACTGATCCAATCCCAGGAGCACTCACTGGCTTAACATCCGCATAACGAACGCTGCTATTCACAACTTTCCCTGCCCGTCGCTGAGTTAAGCTTCTCATAAGCAACATGTCGTAGGCAGCCTCAGCCTAAACTAATTAACATTAGTGACAAGGAAATCATAATCATGGTATTACAAAATTCCAACCCAAAACTAGAAACCACCATAATAAATGCTTGTGTACTGTGATACCACTACAGCCCATCACCCTTAATTACCAAAAAAAACAGAACAGAACATCTAAATTCATAGCTTGTTTGCAAGCACTAAATCCCTTGCAAATTTGTGGTCCTAAACTCAATACTTCATTTGCAATTGAGTAAAACAAATCAAATTATTAACTGCACAAATTCTAAACATTTAACATAACATATTAAAGGCTAACATTTATTTATTTATATGCTAAAAAACTAGAGCTACAGTGGTTAAAATTATACATTATTCAATAGAACCCACAAAAAAAAACGCACCTTTAAACATTAAACTCTCTCTAAGTTTGCAAAAATTAATTAGTTCAACTTCAACCCAATACTATTCGTACAAAACCCAGAAAATTACCAAAAGAGATTGACATAAATTGCAGAAATTCGAAAGGAAAATGAGGAGATGTAATAACCTGTGCAATCGCCTCCTGGTCATCTTTACAAGCCGCGACAATCGAGTTCTTGGCTCGAAGAATTTCGTCGAACGAGGCACCGTCTGAGACGCCGAGGAGCTTGAGGGCGTTCTCGACTGTCATCTCGAACGGTGCGTTGTCGTCGGCTCTGGAGGCGGCCGTGGCAGCCCAGGTTAATGTGCGGCGGGATGGGACGATGGAGCCCCTCCAAGGCTCGAATTGCGTGGCGGGTTTTCGGATTCCGGTGGGGCCGGGGCGGCGGAGGGGCGGGCGGGGGAAGGAGGAGCCGGCGGAGAGGCGGTTGGGCCGGACGGAGAGAGTGGCTGCCATGTGTTTGAAGAAATGTGAGGCTGGATATGCTGCGAAAGTAGCGTGCGTGACGATATGGGTTGTTTTGTTGGGCTGAGTCTTTGCCGCGGAGGGGGTCATCTATAATTGTGGACCGTTGATGGCCATGTCACCACCAATCAATAATTGTATTCTTCCTTCTACGCTACAACTATTTTCTTCCTTCCTTTACGTTAATACTTAATAGACGGCTTTTGGGCCTGGTTCCTTTTATAATCATAATTCATCACTTTAATCTTTGAAATTTAAAATTGATATGAATGATTTTTTTGATATTGTCCTCTATCAATCATTTTGGTTATTTTGTAAAAAAAATTCCGTTAAAAAAACCACCAGTTCACGAAAATGGGTTGATTTGATAAAAATACCTTCAATTTGATGGAGACCCAAATGATTAACGGTGGATAATCTCAGAGATCACTTCTATTGATTTTAAATCTCAATAATCAAAGTAAGGAGTTATATCAATCTCATGAACAATTTTGGATAAAAAAACCTTTAAAACAATCTCATAGACAATTTTGGATATAGAAAAAAACCCTTAATCTGCGTGGTACTATTCACACACACATTTTTTTTCTCACACACTTCTTTCAATTTCCGACCGTTGGATTGTAAATTGAAGAAGATAAAAAAATTAATAAGGGTGTAAGAAGTAAAAAGAAATTTGTAAATAACACTACCCTTAAATCTAAGAATTTTGACTTACAAGTGTGAAAAAATATCATGAAAAATTAGTAATAAGTGGACAACTCAAGTTAGTACTAGCTAAAGTTGAATTTTTCTTGACCTCTATTATTTATAATATGTACGAGTAGGAGTCAATTGAGTTTGAGTTTTGATATGTTTGGAGCTTGTATAATTTATGAAGGGGTGTGATATCCACACATATTTTTTTACTTCTCTCACATCTTTTTAGTTTTCAGCCGTTAGATCAGATGAATTTAAAAAGATTAACAGATATAAATTAACAAGGAATGTGTGAGAAGTAAAAAAATGTGTGTGGATAGTATACCCTTTATGAATAGCTCGTTTAAAAGTCTATGCTTGGACAAAAGGATCCTTGGAATAAAAATTGCTTTGTAAGTTACTTAAAATAAAAAAACTCACTTAAGATTTGATTAATTGAAACAAATTTCCACCCATCCCTAATGCGTTTGGATGTATGTTTAGTTGTGTAGTTCCAAAATCTGTGATGCATCTTCGTGGAATTAACAAATCTCATGCTATCGTGTCGGTTACAAAAAAAAAAAAAAAAAAAAAAAAAAAGTCTGGTGTCATAAAGTATCAGATATTTCAAATTTTTTTATAGTGAATCAAGATTCGGCTACAAGCATACAAGTATTTGTAGAATTTTACATTGGTCAGAGAAAAAGGAGAAAACTAATTTAAATAGGATTATCTTATTCTAATTAATCTTGAGATTTTTTGTGATAAAATACCATATTTGACGGTTTGTGTAGGTGTCTTTTACGATGAAACTCTACACCTGACGGATTGTACAAGAGTAATTAACATGTTGACAGATTGTACAGTGGTAATTAACAAGTTGGGGATAATATCGGCGTTGTTGGAAGTGGACCTATGACCTGTCTTTCTGATAATTCTACAATACTGTAATGAGCGAAAAGAGTAATTGATCAAATTCGTGGGCGGTCCTATAAAGAAACATTTGTGATACTAGAAATTATGCCTTAATGAGCATTTTACTGGAATATTGGAGGAATCCCTTGGATAAGTGAGGTAAAAGCTTAGATCGGACTTAGGGTTGGTTTGGTATTGCTGTGTTTTGGAAAAAAACTGCTTCTGCTGTGCTGTGAGAATAAGCAGCAGAATGTTTGGCAAACTTTTTTTGTAAAAGTGCTTTTGAAAAAAAAAAAAAAACAGTATTATAGTATTTGGTAAACTTTTATGTAAAACAGATGTGAAAAAAAGCCGGTTTTTCAAAGCTGGGTTTTGCAGCTTCTTGTTTTTGGTTTTTTCCACCCAAAACTGTGAAAAAAAACTGAAGCTGATTGTTTACCAAACACAAAAACAGCTCCTAGCTTTTTTTTATATCAATTTTTTTCAGAATCACCTCAGTACCAAACCAGACCTTAATCTTATAATTCGAGGACCTTAAATTTTTTTTAAAATGAAAAAAATACTAATCTAATTTTTTTTTTTCAAAGCCTAATCTAATCTAATTACCTTTTCATTACTACTATTCATTTTCGTATGTATCGCTTGTGGGGTCCGCCCAAATTAACCGGCTCTTGGCGCCACACATCCCTCCTGGATAGCTCTTCTGCACGTTAGTTACTCGAAGCGTGGGGTAGTCGGTAGCATTTGAAAGTGCGCCGTACTGGAAACTCGAACGATGTCGTTGGCTGCCTGTTGGAGGCTGACTCTGACATGCCCGCCACCGACCTCCTCACGGACTTCACCCTGCTTCTCTCCCAGAAGCCGAAGTGGGTTCCGTTGCAGAGCTTCTTCTGGGCAAGCCCACGCTGCAATTGGGGGCCCTAACGACAAGGAAAAGAAGAAGGTTGTCGTTGTTGGCTCTGGCTGGGCTGGCCTCGGCGCTGCTCACCACCTCTGCAACCAGGTCTCTCTTTCTATCTCTCTATGTTTGTGGAAGAATGTGAGAATCATTCCCACCTCAATCCACGCATAAGATACAATATATGATGAATGGTTCTACTACTAGTAATTGCACCGATGCCTTTTATGATAAAACTGCACATATGTTTGGGCTAGTAGGTGATAAGATGATAAGTGAGGATATCTCTGAAATATACCGTATCTTGGTATTTCATTTGCAGGGTTTTGATGTTACTGTTATCGAACGAGGTAGTGACTTCGGCGTACTTGATGAAGTTGGTATCCGCGGTAAAAGAAGCAATCTTTTGTTTTTTATAATGGATTTTGGAAACTGGGTTTCTTTTCGAATCTTAATTTGGCAGATACCTCTTTTGATTTTTGAGAAGCTCAACGTAGGGATTGTTGAATTGAATTCTGATAAATGATGTCGGCATTTGAATTCTGCTGTGTTTTGTAGGTTATTGGTATCCTTACCGGAATATTTTTAGCCTTGTTGATGAGCTGGGTATCAAACCCTTTACGAACTGGACAAAGTTTGCACAATATTCAGCAGAAGGGTTGGAGGTAAGTTAATCTATAAACTGCTTACGTTTTTAGAGTTTGAGCAATGCTAGGTGATTGGTTTCTTGTTATTGTTTTAAAACTTGAGATTGAGTTAGAAGTTTTGAAATGTGTTAACGAAGGGAGTAATGTTCTACAGGTTGAGTTTCCGGTATTTCAGGACCTTCCTCAATTGCCAGCACCATTTGGAACCTTATACTATACACAGGTATATTTGGCTTGTGCGGTTGCAACCTTATGTATCATTGATTCATTCCTTGTTACAGTGAAAAAGTTAAGCAGCATAGTGTTAATCAATAGAGTTTGCATTGTTTGCAGTTTGCTCAGCTGCCATTGGTTGATAGATTAACTTCACTTCCCTTAACAGCTGCAGGTATGTCTCATACTAAAATCTAAGATCTAGATTTAAAAAGTTTAATGCTTAATCAGCAAACATTTATCTGTCGAAGGAGCTAGTAGGAAGTCCTAAACAATTGTATATATGAGAAGCTGTTGGAAGAAATTGTTGAAGGTAGTCCTACACATCTTACAATTCCTGCACTGATGAATTTATCTCTGCATTTTCTTTACAGTGATCGATTTTGACAACACAGATACAGCCTGGAGAAAATATGATGCAAGTAGGCCCTCTATATCACAAACTATGGGTTCCATTATTCGGATAATTATTTTTTACATGCACTGAAAACACTCAAAGCTAATTCTAAGTAAGAGGTTTCACTGGTAGTTACTGCAAGGGAGCTTTTTAAGCAGTTTGGATGTTCGGAAAGCCTTTATCGGAATGTCTTATCACCATTGCTTCAAGTGGGTCTTTCTGCACCGGCTGAACAATGTAGTGCTGCCGCAACTCTTGGTTTACTATCCTACATCTTTGCTCACCAGGTTTGATACGTTTAGTTACTTTTCTAGAGTAATAGGGGTTTTTTGCATTCGTTTCTCACTGTTGAGCATTATCTTTTGATTCTGTAATTTTTTTTTTTTATCTAATTAAATCGTAATTTATTGATGGGTGCAGAAAGATTTTGATCTTGTTTGGTGTCGTGGAACAAGTAGAGAAAAGATTTTCAAGCCATGGATGGGGTCTTTGACGAATAAAGGTTGCAAATTCGAGAAGGGTACGCAATTAACAGACTTTGTGCTTAATGAGGAAACTGGTTCTATTTCAGAAGTAGTTTGCGATGGAGAAGTTTATAATGCTGATGCAATTGTCTTAGCTGTTGGAATATCCACACTCCAAAAAATTATTGAAAACAGGTATCTTACGAATATCATGATGTTTAAATTATTCTCTCTTCTATCCAATGTTTATTCGAAACAAGGTTCTAAAAAACGCTAGGCGCTAGTCGGGCGGCAAGCTAGCGCCTAGCGCCTAGGCGGCTAGGCAGGGTCTAGGCGGATTTAGATAAATTTCTTGTAAATAAGTGCATATTGACACTTACAAAAAATTAAACTTGTATGAAATTCATGGATAAGATAATAAAAGAATAATAAAATGCAAAAAGAGTATCCAATAAGTCCAAAATTTAAAAACACATTAAACATATATGCCATAGAACCATAATGATGAGTATTATAGGATGACACATGTACAATAAGTTCACAATTTAAAACCACATAAAATGCAAAATAGGAGGAAAATAAGGAAATATAGTAATGTAGATAGGATTTTTTTTTTTTTTTAAATTTCAAAAAAAAAAAAAAAAAAAAAAAAAAAAAAACCAAACCCTCCTAGCCGCCTAGCACCGCCTAGAGCCCAACCGATTTTTCCAACTGATTTGCAAGAAAACACCTTGGGTCACCACCGCCTAGGCCGTTTTTTAGAACATTGATTCAAAATGCATTCCTTTGGATTTGGTTAGGAAACCATAGATTAGTATTGCAGGGATAATGTTACAACTACACTCAAACTACAGCTCACATGATAACTTTTTTCGAGATATATTATTGTTTAAAACTGCAAAATGCATCGTAGAGCTTCAATTAACCCTAGACCTGCTATTCTACCTTAATTGGCAGTACTTGAGTTCTGTATAGTGCAGTGTTGTGTACAAGGGAGGAGTTTCTCAAAGTCTTGAACTTGGCTAGCATTGATGTACTCTCCGTTAAGCTTTGGCTTGATAGGAAGGTGAGTGCAGCGAAAGTCTTTAACACAGCTTCTTATCTTAACTGCTTTTTGATGTATACATTTATTCTCCTCTTTATTATTAGCATGAAAGTTTTATGAAGTTTTTGTGATCACTTCTGAGCTCTGATTTCTCCTTTGCTTTCGTTTTTTATTTTAATACGAAATCTAGTACCTACCTTATTAGTTGGCAGTCTGACTTAGCTTTCTGTAAACAAAGCTAGTAAAATGGTATTTTTCCGTTACTATTTGACAGATCTGATTCTTTTCGTAAACTTCACACCTAACCAGGTTAACATTCCAAATGCATGTAATGCATGCTCCGGATTTGACAATTCATTTGGTTGGACTTTCTTTGATTTGAATGCAATCCATGACGATCATAAAGATAGTTCAGTAACAGTGTTACAAGCTGATTTTGTGAGTATTCCTAATTTTTTTGCCTCTCATCTTGTTCTCAGTCTGCTTTAGAGGTAAAATCTTATCCTTTCTTTGTTCCAAATGTGTCTCGAGTAGTATCATGCCAACGAGTTGTTGCCACTGAAAGATGAGCAAATAGTCTCTCGAGCAGTATCCTACCTGTCAAAGTACATTAAAGACTTCGAGAATGTTACTGTGACAAACAAGAAGATTGGCAGATTTCCGAAATCATTAACTCACTTCTTTCCCGGTAAGAGTTTTCATGTCATGACCTATCCCCTATGCCATCTTGGTATAGGTATTCAATTGTTTAGGTACGATTGTGTACACATTTTCGTATAGGTAAGTAAATTGCAATAAAGTCTACTTTACATAAACTACATGAGAACTCAGTTGGGAAATCAAAGATTTTTCAATGATCCTTCAAATCAGAGCAGACCGCAGCTGTATATTTGTTGTCATCAGTGATCACTGGAATGCATCATCTTTCTTCGCTGTTGTGTCCTCTCGTAATAGGTTCATATAAGGACATGATGCGTGGGGCTACATCTTTCCCGAACTTGTTCATGGCCGGAGACTGGATTATAACCCGACATGGTTCATGGTCACAGGTTAGACTCAAAGTCTCAACAAAACCATATCATTCCCATCTTCCTGGATCAAGATAAACATAAACAAAAAGGCTGAAGACATATGCTTTGCTGCATTCCTGAACAGGAGAAATCTTACGTGACGGGACTTGAAGCTGCGAATCGCGCAGTAGACTACCTCGAAGAAGGAAGTTTTGCGAAAATAATACCCGTAGAGGAAGATGAACCGCACATTCAAGCGCTTCGCAGCCTAAACAGAAGCTTTAAGGAGATCACAGCACAGCTTCCGTTGTCCAGTTACTTCCTCCAGTGAGCTTGTCTGATTTGATTGTTTGCTGCAGTTTAATCCCCCATGTATTATTCTTGAATCCTACCATTAAATGAATAAATCTTATAATTCTGGACCTTTTATCACCAAATGCTGAGTATTTGAATTGATTTATTGACCAAAACTCATCCCCCTATCAAGGCATCGATCAACACTAGCTTCGTATGTCTTAATCTCATATAAGCTTAGAACCAACTTGTGTTTCATTAAATGTTCAGTCTTTGGGGAAGTGGTTTCCGCACGATCCTTTGGCCAAGATATATTATTTTAAAGGTAAATTTGGGTTTCAGTCCCTCTTCGACCAAAATTTAGGACTGAAACTTTATTAATTTGAATACTTTCATTGAAGGAGAAAATGTTAAATTTTAGTATTAGTTAAGAAATTTAATAACTAAATTTAATAATTCCTCCCCAAATTCATACAAAGAGTAATACCAAACAAAGATTTTTAATTTTTTTTCTTAAATTTGAATTGCATGATATTTGATCAGATTTTTCTACTTTTTCAAAATAAAATATTTTAATTTTGTTTTTAAATATGGGTACGTTTCAAATATAAAAAGCTTACATTTTATTATAAACATGGGTATATGATAGGTAAAAAAAAAAAACTGAATAAATTTTACGTTTAAAAAATGAGTATATTTTATATTAAACATTGGTTCAATCCACATATAACAAAGTGGTAAAATTTTTTAAAAAAGATATAAAAAAAAATCATGGATACATTAAAAGTTTAAAATATGGGCACAAAAAGAAATTAAACATTATTATAAATTAAAACTAGAAAGAAAATTGTTAATAATTACAAGATTGCAATATAAAAATGGGTACAAATTAAAATAGAATTATATGATACAAAATTTAATCATAAATATAAATATGCCAAATGCAATGTTTCTAATAATATTAACTGGATAAGTTTGGGAAATCCACTGTAGCAATGCACAACTTGGATTTGTTATCCCAAGTTCGTCTCTTGGCAGCGGAATAAGCTTAAAAAATTTGTATCCATAAAAAAAAAAAAAAAAAAAAAAAAAAAACTGAATATGTTTGGAAATCATTAATAATTTTAATTATAAAATTTAGATAATGCTAACATTTAAATGTTTTATTATTGAAATAATGACGTGGATAAAAATCAAAGGACGTTGAACAAAAATGAAAAAGGAACAAGATTCAATCAATAAGATAGAAAATTCAAGAATAAGAACCTAATTTCTTTTATTCTAAATTACTCTAATTTAAAGATAGGAAGATTGATGCTTAAGTGCAAGAGAATGGGTACAATGTCTTGACCAACTACATAAAATTTCAAATTCATATATGCAAAAACAATTTGTCTTTAGATAGAGTTGATCCATGTGTGTAAATATGTGTAAGCTGAGGCATGTTCCACCTCTAACTGAGATATAGTTTGTAGAATCATGCATTGTATGAACTCAATGGCATACAAACAATCTAATGGCTCCTAAGAAATATTATAGACAATTGCAAAGTGATAGACTTCTGGCTGTTGATGCATAAGAGTTCATAAACGAATCAATGATTGCACACATAAGTGATGTGTTTATTATATTTTGTATATAATATACACAATGTCTTAACTAACTGACCTAACCTATATCTGTCATTAACAAACTAATCTAACCCAACTCTATGTCCGAAACATTTCTTTAGCTCACAAACCTATACCTTCCTATTATGATACTGGTAAAAGTGAACCAATCAATATCTTCTATTAGAGATTATATACGAGTATGACTTGGTACTATTTATTTAAAAATAACTTTTTATAAGGTTATAATTTTAGACGAAATTATGTTTAACCATTTCTGTCACATCCCGGCCCGGGACGGATCACTTTGCGAGCCCGCTCCACCACCGTAGCATGATATTGTCTGCTTTGGGCTTACCATTCCCTCACGGTTTTGTTTTTGGGAACTCACGAGCAACTTACCAGTGGGTCACCCATCATAGGTTGCTCTAGCCCCCTTCTCGCTTAACTTCGGAGTTCCAATGAAACTCGAAGCCAATAAGCTCCCAAAATGCCTCGTGCTAGGTAAGGATGAAAATATACATATAAGGATTACTCCCCTAGGTGATGTAGGATGTCACAATCCACCCCCTTTAGGGGCCCGACGTCCTCGTCGGCACATCACGGCCAGGGTTAGGCTCTGATATCAAATTGTCACATCCCGCCCCGAGGTGGATCACTTCCCGAGCCCGCTCCACCACCGTTGCACGATATTGTCCACTTTGGGCTTACCATTCCCTCATGGTTTTGTTTTTGAGAACTCACGAGCAACTTCCCAGTGGATCACCCATCATGAGATTGCTCTAGCCCCCTTCTCGCTTAACTTCGGAGTTTCTACGAAACCTGAAGCCAGTGAGCTCCCAAAAGGGCTCGTGCTAGGTAGAAATGAGAATATACATATAAGGATCACTCTCCTCAACGATGTGGGATGCCACAATTTCGATTGAAAATGACCTTACCAAGTAGGAAAAATATCAATATCCTGTCCAAATTAGGAAGCTGCAGTGGGCCCCAACCAGCTGTCCAAATCACCCACGTGGCGGACCCTATGGAGAGGATGGATGCCCAATATTTTTGGACACTTGTGTCAGTCTTTTTGTTGTCTTTCACATTATTCCCATTATTACACTCATCAAAAATTAAAAATACAATTTTATTTAAATTTGCAATTAAATAATTTTAATTTTATAAATCAAATTTCAACTTATTAATTTAATGAATTTAGAAGAAGAGATTAGAAGAGTATCTTTTCATTATTTATGTATAACTGAATTTCTAATTTATTTATTTTTCTAGTCCATTAGATATTCAGATCTCACTCTTTCTAATTCGTCTTCCTCCTCCTCCTTTCTGCTCCACTCTCTCCCTCTCTTCCGCTTGGCTCCTCGCGCTCCAGATCGAAAAGTAGGTACGCTTTCAGATCCGTACGCAATTATCAGCCGCTTGATCACAGTGTACTTGATTCAATTTGACTTTAACCGTCTCATCGTCGACTCCCAAAGGCGCGAACTTTACGTGATTGAAGACCGCGTTCATCGAATTGTTGTTGCAGATCCAAATTTAGTTATTTTTAACCAAGTATTGGAATCAGCAATTGGCTTTGTTTTTGTTTATCGTTAGTTGTTTTGAATCAATTTTGAGGCTTGTTTGGTTGCTGAGAAAATTGATGGTAATGAAGAATAGCGGAATGTCAAAGATTATAGTTTTCGTAGTTTTGATTCGGAGAAGCTCTACCGTACAGTTACCTGAACTTTGTTAAGTATTTAGACATGTTGGATTAATGCAATTCAGTGATTTATTGTGTTTGATTATATTTAGTGTGACATTATTTTCCCAGCAGCCAAACAGAAAGTAAAAGACCGAGAAATTTTTTATTTTTTAAGATTTTCTGTTCTCATTAACCTGCGTGCCATTAGTGATAATTAAGCACAATCGTATTGATATTATCTAAATCTACACTCATTTGGTTCGACTAATTGGAAATTTAACTTTAGGAAGTGGTCTTAGATGTCATACAGATTTGGTTTCAGAATTCGCAGTTGATTTGGATTACTTATATTGATTTTTGTTCATAATTGTTGATAATTTTTCTTTTTTCATGAAGATTGCAAATGGCTGTTTCACAAAACAATCATGACATGGACGAGGGAAACCTAGAGGTCGGAATGGGTAAGTCTTGGACTGGTTTACTTCATACTTTTGTGGTAGACAGGGTGAAGTAATTTGATGAGGTAATAGCTGTAGTGGGCATGCAGTTTTTGGTCAAAACTCATTAGTCGTAATGGAATCAATATGAGTCAGATTTCAAACTCTTCAAATATGTCCTGTTAGAAAGTCTTAGCATTGCGATGATTGTTTTATGGAGTGTTAGACTTACATTAATGGTGTCAAGTTTGACATTTTCACCTTACATTGACATTGCAGAATACAGAACTGTGTCTGGTGTGGCCGGACCTCTGGTTATCCTTGAAAAAGTTAAGGTAGGTTATCCGCTCTCTTACTCATTTAAAATGTTTTTAAGCTTTCTCAACGAGGAATTTGTCCTCTTCAGAATCAAAAACTAATATGTACTCTTAAACTGCCCCAGGGACCTAAGTTTCAAGAGATTGTTAACATTCGTTTGGGAGATGGAACAACTCGACGTGGTCAAGTCCTGGAAGTTGATGGAGAGAAAGCTATTGTACAGGTGACTGCTGTGTAGCAATGATTATTGGTTTCTTGTGGTTTTGCCCCTTCTTATCATCCTGGCACTGGTGCATAATTTTGGGAATTTTAATTTTTGGGGGTTTGTGTGCATCTTCTGGGACAGCAGCTGTTTTGATTGTCTTATCCTTTTTAAATAATAGCATCATTAGGTTTTCTGCAATGTGGTTATTATTATTACTGTTTACACAATCAATTTATATGCTGCCAGGTTTTCGAAGGAACATCTGGAATTGACAACAAGTACACTACTGTGCAATTCACAGGAGAGGTATTAAACCCTCTATTTATATTCTTCCTTCATTGTTTGCGGAATCAAGAATAAATATATGTTCTGACATGAACCGTAGAACTAGTTATGCTGTTTTGACCTTCCCCCTTGCATATTTGTCAGGTTTTGAAAACTCCAGTCTCACTTGACATGCTTGGGCGCATCTTTAATGGCTCTGGGAAGCCCATTGATAATGGCCCCCCTATTTTGCCTGAGGCTTACCTAGACATATCTGGTGTGTTATTTGTTTCAATGATAATAAGTTCTGCTCCAAGTTTCTTTGCATTAACATGTGTGTCAATCTATTGTTTGTCGTCTCCAGGGAGTTCTATTAATCCGAGTGAGAGAACATATCCTGAAGAAATGATTCAGACTGGAATTTCTACTATTGATGTCATGAACTCCATTGCGAGAGGACAAAAAATCCCCCTTTTCTCTGCTGCTGGTCTTCCTCATAATGAAATAGCTGCTCAGATATGTCGCCAGGCCGGTTTGGTCAAGCGGTTGGAGAAATCTGAGAGTCTTCTTGACGCTGGGGTATACTTTATGCTAAATATTTTTTTGTTAGCCAGCAGAGATCACATATATCTACTATTTTCATGTCCGACAGTCTTAAGTGCATGTGTAACATTATTTTTTCATCTTTGATTTCAAGATGAAATTCATTTACATATAGTCATTTGATAAGATAGTAATCTTGTTGATACTAGTACATTGGAACTCCTAGTTAAATGAGTAAGTACCAAAAAGCCTGCTCAGCTCGCTTGAAATAGTTTGAGCCCTTCACTGAAAATTTTGATTTGGGCCTCTTTATGTTTTTAAGCTTTGATATTTCACAGAAATTTGAAAAAGAGTAATTGCAAACAAAAAAAAAGCAACAGCGAGAAAATAAATAACAGTAATAGGCTCCTTGTGAAGTTAATGGATTATTGTACATGGATAGGTTCTTGATTTATCACAAATTATCATTGTCTTCTAGCATTCATGTGACTAACCTACTTGGTGAAATTACAGGACGTAGAAGACGACAACTTTGCCATTGTGTTTGCAGCTATGGGAGTAAATATGGAGACTGCACAGTTCTTTAAGCGTGATTTTGAGGAAAATGGTTCAATGGAGAGAGTGACCCTTTTTCTGAATCTGGTATATTATGAAGTGAACATATGAAGTGTTTCATGATATGTTTGTGACTTTTTTTCTTTTCAAATATCTCATGAGATTTCTATTTAGCCTAAATGTGTTTTCTGCCATTTTCTTCTACAGGCAAATGACCCTACAATTGAACGCATTATTACTCCTCGTATTGCTCTTACTACTGCAGAATATTTGGCATATGAATGTGGGAAGCATGTTCTTGTCATTCTCACTGATATGAGTTCTTATGCTGATGCTCTTCGTGAGGTAACATGAAAAAGTTTCTAATTATGAATTCATAAATTACGTGCCTCATTTCATCTTCGTTCTTATATTAATTTCCATGACACAAACTGCTGATTGCTACTGCAGGTGTCTGCTGCCCGAGAGGAAGTGCCGGGAAGGCGTGGATACCCTGGGTACATGTATACTGATCTGGCACAAATCTATGAGCGTGCTGGAAGAATTGAAGGGCGAAAAGGCTCTATTACCCAAATTCCGATCTTAACTATGCCAAATGATGGTAATGCTTGCTTCTTGTTACACGTTGATGGTCTCATATCATGCATCCAAGTGATATTCCTTAACTCAATCTTTAATTTCTTTATCTGCCCAGATATTACCCACCCCACTCCAGATCTTACTGGATATATTACTGAGGGACAGATATACATTGACAGGCAGCTCCACAACAGACAGGTAACTAAAATTTTATCATGTTTCATTGGATTATTCAGTGTTATGATCTGAGGGTGGGTCTATTATTGTATTACCTTAAGAAACAAGGTCTTGAGCATCTGCTCATGGCCATGCATTCAGCGTGCAAATCACAATACAACATGCGGCATGGTTTAATTCCAGGGAATTTACCATGGTTTTATTGTTTGTATTCCCATGGCCTTACGACTTCTTTCATCAAGGTTTAATTTGATGAAATTGTTGTTGCGGTTGCTGCTGTATCAGTCCATTAAAAAAACTATGATTTAGCTTGATACTAAATCAAGGTAATTAATGATGCATTTAGAAAGTTGGATCTCTATGTTTGGTAAAAGTCCAAAGAGGTGGTAACGATCAGATATGTGGAGATTATAAATGAACTGAACTAACTATTAAGTTCTTTAACCTGTGCAGATATATCCACCAATCAATGTCCTCCCATCACTATCTCGTCTGATGAAGGTAATGATACATCGATGTCAACTCTAAAGATAGAGAGCGTTTTCATCCTCCTACAATAATGGGGGTTAAAATAAAATTGTTGGCTATAATTGCAGAGTGCTATTGGTGAAGGCATGACTCGCCGGGATCATTCTGATGTATCAAATCAGGTTTGTTTGGGATTCCCTGGTAGTATCTATTTTAATCTGTCTTCACTTAACGCCTTCTAATCTTTCCCTCTCATGCAATGTTTGACTTTCAGTTATATGCAAATTATGCTATTGGGAAGGATGTCCAGGCAATGAAAGCTGTGGTCGGAGAAGAAGCACTTTCTTCGGAGGACTTGGTAATATTACCCATATTCTTATTAAGAATGCTTTCTGTTTATTAGCAATCACCCTCTGGAAGAAATTGATGTGATTTTTCTTTTGAATGAAACACAGCTATACCTGGAGTTCTTGGACAAATTTGAGAAGAAGTTTGTGTCCCAAGGAGCCTATGACACCCGTAACATCTTCCAGTCCCTCGATTTGGCATGGACGTTGCTGCGAATCTTCCCCCGTGAGCTTCTCCACCGTATACCTGCAAAGACCCTTGACCTGTTCTACAGCAGAGATGCAGCTAATTGATGGAGTTCAGAGATCCCCGTTTGTCGAAGTTCTTCAGCCTATTTAGCCATCAATGAGCTCTGCAATTCGTTTATTGATCCTCTGCCTGCCTAGGTTTGCATCTCTTCTTCCCCGGCATATATAATAAAGGTTGCGGTCGGTTCAAGTCCCTGAAAGGTCTTGGCTAGTCCAGATCTTATTTCAATGAGCACGTTTAGAGATCTTGTAGCACTTTGTATTTTCGTTTCTCATTTGTTAGTTGGTCACCCAGTTGTGGTTTGGTTATGCTTTTTTCCTCCCCAAGTGAAAGTTCCGGAACCAGTCGAGGCCATCTAGGATCTAAAAAGCCCTTTCAGTAGTATATATTTGCTTTGTTTCAAGACCCCTATTATTTATTTTGTAATCTGCCATTTTTGCTTTTTATTAAATATTTCCTCTGACTTTGATGTCTGTCTTGTGTATTTAGACATGCGAGCACGCCCAAGTTCGGTTCATTTAAATCTGAAATAAAATGAGTATTAGTATTCACTACCTCACCAAATCAATACGAGGTGGTTGGTTTTCTTCCCCCATTATAAGAAAGTCTCGTTGCAGACGTGGATTATACCAGTTGGTTGGCAGTGTGTACGCTTTCTTACATTCAAGTTCGAACCTCTATAGATTAGAGAGAGCTTAGGATATTATTGCCCTATTGAGAGAAAAAAAGACCCAAAAAAATTAAAATTCATGCTTGCCCTTAGATCTACTCCAACACTTGGAATACAACTCAAAATTTAAGTTCTAAACTTACTCCAACTTGCTCCAACCTTGGGGCAAATATGAGTTTTAATCCAAAAGTCATTTCTGGGGCAAATTAGCCAAAGATTTCCCTGGATTAGTGGGGCTGGGCCGTCATATATGTGTACGGTTTTTCTTTTTATATTTATAAATTCATTGAATCTAACGGCTAAGGTCTAATATGATCAAATCTAACGGTAAAGAAATGATATGACGGTCAAACTTTAAATCTAACGACTAAAGTATTAAAAAAAAAGTCTTTTATGTGTTTCATATTCTTTCATAGTGTTTCACAAGTTTCATGGTATCGGTTTAGTATTTTTCAATTCTTATCGGAATCTAAATATTTTTAAGTTAAAATGTTCGTAAAATTAAATTAGGATAGTCTACATATTTTTTTCTTTTAAAAGAGTTACTTTAAGAAAAAAAAACTATCCTAAATTCATCTTTTAATAATTTCGTGCTAAAAATTTAACCCACAAAGATTGGAGGAGAAAATTGTTTCTGGGTTAAAATTTTTTAAGTTTGAACTTAAAGGTTGGAGATGGTCTAGAAGGGCTAAAAGTGCTTAGTGCTTTGTCTAATAAGGTCCTTACTCCTTTCTACAAAAGTTTTGTTTCTTTTAAGTTTTCAGCAAAAGTGCTTATAAAGCCGTAGCGGTTGCACAGAGGAGTTATAACGGTACGGCAAAAGACAAGAACCTGGGTAGTGTGGAAGCAGCAGTTACACATTCTCCACTAGAGTTGTGCTATACTAATGCCTTGCAAGACAAGAAAACAAAGGGATGCTCAGAAACAGACTCACTTCAGATCATAGTAAAATACGGAATGGATATAATACGTGAAAAATACATACATGTATTATTCGGCAACTTTGCTAAAATAGTACTTTGAAAAATTTGGCCTTTTTTTTTTAAAAAAAATTTTAATATTTTATTTATCATTTCTTCAATAATATGCTACATATGCATATAAAAAACGTGAATTTTATGTGTCAAAATAACGTGTAGTAAACGTACAAGATACGTATATACATGTATAATACGTTGAAGTTATAAACAACATGCAATATAACTAATAATTAAACGTGTATGGAAAAGCAGAAGTATTACTGAAAAATATGCACATGTGTATAATACACATATTCACTAATTATGCTTCAGATACACATTAATCAATCAATCTTGCATTTTTTTATTTCTAAAAACAATAAATATACTCTATTCTGTTTTTCCTTCCATTTTCTACCATCGGAACTCAAACAGATGATAAACAAACGGTATCAAAATAGTACACAATGTGTTTCCAGTTTGAATCTTAGTGGTACCAGAAAGGTTGCTGCAATTTCCTTGTTAATCATCTCAATAACACCCAGACCCAGAAATTTAAAAGACCTGACGCCGCTATTCTTCTTCCTCTTCCTCTTCTTTTTATATACCGTTCGAGTCTCTTCTGGGATGACAGAAAAAATAGAACCGGGAAGAGCTCGATAAAACTTCACAAGACCAAATGGATCCAATTGACCCCTCAGCCAGCTTTCGACGTTCTTGCCACAGGGGGTAGGACAACTGAATCAAGATTTGCAGGGTAAGGAGTCCACAAGCCTAAGCCTCCCCTACTTTCTATCAAACCATTTTTCGCATTGGCCTGGTCCCAATCTTTACCCTTATTCGAAATAGTTCCGTTCCCCTTGAGCTGATTCCAACTTGTTACCCACTCTATACGAGAAGAATGCTCCCTTATGTGTGGATGCAACACAAACAGGGAATTGTACTCGCAATTCGGAAACATAAAGAACTTAAACAAACCCCCTAACCGGTACACAACATAACCAAAACTCAGTTGGTCTCTTGGTGTGAAGAGGTGGACCTCATTGAACCACAAGCAGCTAAACAAATTACTCATCGCAGTATGTTCCCGTATGATAATGGCACCCTCTGGTACATCTGCATACAATAGCTTCCATCAATACTTTTAATAAATAGTATTATACCAGTACATATGTAGATAGTATTAGACATTCACTTTGTCGGCAGGTGCCTGTTAACTTGAAGCAGAGGAGAAACAAATAAACAGAACTAACAAATGACACAACTCAAAATCTACGGTGTTCCTTCTTACCACTAACGGTTTTCTTGGTTGGATCCCACGACTCCAAACCCTCATAACGATAAATTTTCATGTGTAGATCAATAAGAGGTCGAGCATATCGCTTCCTCCGCTTGTTTGCATCAGCCTCCTCGTATATACTGCGATGGTGCTTGTGCTGAGAAATGGCAAATGTATGCTTCCCACGCCATAAATATCTGCAAATCAAATTAGATCCCTCGATAATAGCTATATGCAGACAAACAAATATAGAGAATGAGAAAGATAAAGTTGATCTATTACCTTTCTAAAATTTGCAATGGATCAACCATGAGCTCCATTTTACCATCGATCCAAATGCTATACTGTGCGTTAGGGTACAAGCGGTGGGTTAATATCTTGGGGACCTTCCCATTCCTTCTTGGCTCATCATATGGCGGATGCTTCAACAAAACAAGACGCCAGATACCAACCCATTTTCCCCCATCATTATCCTCTCTGACAGTGACATTTTCCTTGATAAAATTAAGAGATGTTTCATCAACCGCCATGAGAAAACAGAAGAGCTTCTTAGAACGAGGACTTAAATCTGAAGGTTGATGGGGTACATCATAACCATCAAAAATGCCTGATGCAACCACAAACCTACATTTCTTGGCATATTTGATGTCTGCAGGAGCCATTTCAGCACCACCGTTTCGAATAAAACCACAGTGCACCTGCAGGATATAAACATTAACCAACTCACAATAGAGAATGGAAAAAGAAATACCCCTTAAACAGACAGAAAAAGAAGAATTCGATAAATAGGAAAGAGAAACACTACATTAAGTTGACAATTTTCTCCATATCCACCACCACTATTTTCGATTATTTTAACATACTTGAAACATGGGTAAACTACAGTTTATTTATAAGAAGTTGCTAAGGAAGTCGGGCCCTATAACTCTTTTACTTCTGATACCAAAACAAATAATTAAAGAACACGCTTTGACGGAAGATAACAGAGTATTGATGTTTGTCCTTACCTTCATGTCTGATTTTAGTCTAAAACTCTCCTCTCTCTGTGTCCAATTTTGATGTCCTCCGAATAGTGGGGATGACTGAGTTCCGCCAGGCAAAATCTCATCTTCCAAAACATAGGTTAAGTTTTTGACAATTTCATCAGGAGTTCTTCCCTTTGGAATTTTTATCTTATCAGGATCACTGACAACAGGAATCGGACAGCCTATTTGATATGAAAACAAACAACATCATTAAATAAAACTAAAAAGTTATCAATAATCCAATAAAAACTATTTTAATGTTCTTACGGTGTTGCGATTGTCCTTTTGGTACAAACCCGAGGGAGTCTAACATGGAGAAGACCTTGCTCTCTTTGTTACACATAGCTGCAATTCAAGTGGATCAAACTACTAAGAACACATATCTGTTTGCCTCAAATTAAATAACAGACACCTTATTTACAAAGCATGCGCTGACAATATTAGCACCTATTGCAAGTTGTACCAATAATATTGACAAAATGCCCTTACTATTGGACCTTAGGGGAACTATTTGATACTCACATGTTGACAACTATGACCCCTCATACTACAGGAAACTTTAAACCAACAATAGCGATACATTCAGCATTTGTTCATGTATTTCAAGCCAGACCTTTACAGGCTTACTAAAATATGTTACCCTGACTCATATAATTAAGTTTTAATTAAAAAAAAAATCATAATAAAAATGTTTTATCACCTATGGTATGCAAAGAATTCCTAAAATCCACTGTTTGATATCGCTAAGATGTATATGAAAACCAAAAACAGTAGATATAAACTCAAGACTTTTCATTTTTTGGAACAGGGCACCAATCAACTAGCCTACTTCAAACATTGGGCACAGCAACAAAAAACATGTAAAGCTCAAGCTCTGTGTTTATAAAGCATGAACTCAAACAGAGAACCCAAAGAACTTAATGCATAGTTCCATCAGAAAAAATTACGATACCTGAGAAGAAAGAGATAGAAGACTGGCAGGACCAAACATGAAATAATGACGCGAGGAGAATTAGTAGCATCCACAAAATGCCACCTACAAGAACCAATCGAATAAAGCCCTTCTTCCAAACGATCTTCAGGGGATAATCCTGCGGCACCCTTCCCAGAGGAAATCCCTCTTCAACATCTGCACCACCAGCACCACCAAACGACTTATTCACATATTTCGTGCTAAACAAAATTTCTATTTCATCGATCCAAGAATCAATGCTACACCTAAAACCCACATCAATATCTTTAGCCTCAACAATTAACATGATACAATTCACAATGCACAATGGGACGACGTTAGGCTTTGCTTACCTTTACTGTGTTGGTTTAAATTACTCCTTTCTCCCCTACGATGTGTGCGAAAAGACACAGACCGCGGACTCTCTTTATCCATAATCAACCACTACAACTTCTCACAACTGCAGCAGAATGCATACATTACTACATTTTACATCTAAAGTAAGAAACACAATCCAACACTATCCCCATATTGATTAGCATTATATTATACTTCCCAAAAAGCCTCAAAAAACGAATTGAGATTAATATTGGTGAACACAAATCGAATCCAAGCGAATTCCAGATCTGGGTTACTCACAAAATTGATCGAGCTAATCGGCTGCAATTCAAGTTTGGTTTTTGAATACTGAAACGAAATCTTGGGTTGTGAAAATTGACTTACAGATTGAAGATGGCGTGGTTGGAACCTCTCCGCAGTAAAAGAAACTTCAGGATTTGTAAAAAGAAGAAAGAAACCGCAATGTGGGCGGTAAATACAAACTCACTCAAACTTTCCAGAATCCAAAGGGAAGGGATTGAAGCCAAAAGCTTGAAATTTCAAAACCCAGATCAAATCTCAGCCGCAGATGCCACCTGAAGCGTGAAAGCAAGCTCCTTTTTCTTGTTTTACCTTAAAGAAAGCACCTTTTTTTCTTCTGGGTATCCTCCAGAGACTAAGAGCAGAAATTTAAAAACTTGCCAGATTGAATTAATTCGGAGAACACACAGTGATCGAGAGAGCAGAGGGGAGAGAGAGAGAGAGAGTATAAATCTTTGTTTCTTTTTTTACTTTGCTTGGGGATGGATTTTTTAGTAATTAGCTGACGTGGCCTTTTATGAAGGTTTAGATTCTTGATGGACGGCTCAGATTAAAAAGCAACTCAATGATGTGAACTTCCAAGTTTTCAGACTTGTTCAGCTTGTATGGCATTTTACTCCAAAATCCCCAAATGTCATTTGTTGCCAAAATTACCTGAACTTCCAAGTTTTCAGATTTTGATAAGAGTGAGATGCAAATGAGGGTGCAACTCGGACGGATTGGGTAGGTTAGATGATCAACCTAATCCTAATTCAACTTCCATAATTCGAGTTTGGATTGGATTCAGATTAATGCGTGTTTAGTCTATTTGGATTTAATTAGGTTCAGTTTTACATGAGTTGGGTTCGGGTTCGCCCAACTTTATTGAGTTTAATTTTATAACAACTTATTTTGGATGAGTTTTCAAATCTTTAACCAAATAACGTCAATATTAGTTAAAATTTCATTGATGCATCATCATGCATACAAAAGTTAAAACCAACAATTTGGAGACTATTTTTAATGTTTCAACCATTCAAAGTAGAAATTAAATTAAAAGACCTATATCAAAACTTCAATCAAAAGAAATGCAAAATTAGCACTATTAATCATTATCCATATGAAAACCGACAATAAACTTCAAATATAGTCATTCCAAAACTTATACATAACTTATATAATATGAAGTGGTATGGTTAATATGTACATGAGTGAATTTAAGCTCAAAATTGGGTTAGGTTTGGGTTGACATGGGTGAGCAAGACATTAGCCAAACCCAACCCAACAAATGATCAGTTTCAGGTTGGGTTGGGTTTGGGTTGATTTTTTCTCCATTCTAACCCACCCAATAGGATTTAAAATCGGGTTAGGCATGGACGAATTCAAGTTTACCCAACTCAAGTTGCATCCCTAGATACAAAACACCATGGACCCTAGTTTTCACTTTTCAGAGGGCACTTTAGGAATAAGCCTTTTAGAAAAATGAGACGTTTCAATTTTTTTTTTTTTGAACAAACGATATTATCTACACTAAAGGAAACGTGGTGGGCTTAACCTCACGATGAGTTAGTAATAATGTGGTTCAAATTCGCATTTGGCGAGAATTGAACTTAAGACCCTTTACTTACAAGTGAAAAGAAATACCATTAAATTGTAGTATTAACTGGCTGAAACATTTCAATTATTGAAAACGAGTCAAGAATTTGCTTCTCAATGAATTTCAAGAAAATTTAGGGTCTCACAATGTGTTACGTGTATACGAAATATTCATTAATCCCAAAAGGCCGGGGTGTATATGGCATTTTAAATAAAAACCTATTTCGATTTAACTTAATATACTTTTATTTATTTTATCATCTTAAAGACAAATTTAAAATTGCTTCCGATATCAATTTTCTAAAACTACACCCTTTTGAGTTAAGAGATGGATAAATAGACAAAGACGATGAAAAATTATCCAAAATTTTATACAACCAACCCCAATACATGGAAAAGGAATTAAACCTTGATCCAAAAGCAAAAATTAAGTTTGAAATGAAGGGTAAGAAACATATAACTAAGTAGAGTGCAAATTCAAATAATCCAATACAACATGTTTGATTCAGATTCTACATATCTAGTATGAAGGCATCATCCATGTTCTTGCACTCGTTAAACCCTCTTTCAAGCTCCCCTAAATAGCATTGGATTGGCCAAATAAAGGGCAATAACCATATGTATGAATGTGTGATTGAATGCTTCTGTAATTGAATCCAAGAGATGAATACAGAGAGCAACGTACTCTCCATTTTCAGAAGTGTGATCTTTGATGGAAATGCAAAATGGGACTAAGTTGATTAGTCTAGAAACATCTTAAGTTATAGTAGTTTTTTCCAGAAAGGCTAGAAGCTACTAAAATGTGTGGCCATTATGCAAGGTCCAAGTCGGTGGCAGTGCATAATCAATGCACTAGCTAGAAAGTTCTAGCCATGCTTAGATCAACAAACATGCCTATAAATATGTGTGCTTGTTGTGTAAAGCGAGAAAGAAGCAAAAGAAGCGAGCAAGGAGCTAGAAGTGAGTGACAATCAAAATGAGGAGCATGAGTGTTTTAGAGTTTGTCTTTAAAAAGACAGAAAGTGTCATAACTTTTAAAATTGTGTTTTGAGAGTTTGTATATTTTAATATTTTGTAAGTGTAATACAAGTAATTTGTTTACTTGTTTTGTCTCTCTAACACTTAAATATGAGAGTTGTGTACTCTAATTTTCTCATCAATTGATATCAGAGCATTACGATCAGAAACCAGCTCTGTTGAAACTTCCAAGAATCGTCAGAAGTATAGTACTTCACAAAATTGCTGACTAATCTTGTTTGGCACCTCGAAATTCTGCTGGCACAATGGGAGATCTTCAAGTAGTTAGAGGAATCAAGAAGTTTACAACAAAAATTACAACACATGAGCGATGTTCATGGAATCTTATCTACATGGACAAGATCTTTGGGAGATCGTTGGCAGTAATGAAGTTACTCAGCTGGTAAAAGACACCAATGACACTTTGCGTAAGTGGAAGATCAAGGCAGGAAAAAAATGTTCCTTATGAAGACCACAATTGAAGAAGAATTGTTGGAGCACATAAGAAAAGCCACAATACTGAAATAAGCATGGAACACTTACGCCACACTCGTTTCAAAAAGGAACGATACAAGGCTACAGCTTCTCAATAATGAGCTATTATCGGTGTCACAACGAAACATGACGATTACTCATTATTTCCACAAGGTAAAGTCCATACGCCATGAAATTTCTGAATTCGACCCAACTGTTGTCATTTTAGAATCCAAGATAACACGAATAATTGTCCATGGTTTGAGACCCAAATACCGAGACTTTATTGCTGTTGTACAAGGATGGCCAACTCAACCATCACTTGTTGAGTTTGAAAATTTATTTGCCTATCACAACTCATTCTTAAGAAGCTATAGCCTTGTATCGTTCTTTTTTTTAAAGATTGTGGCGAATGTGTCCCATGCTGCTTTCAGAGTTATGGCATATCGAAATTTTGCCGGCACAATGGGTGATCTTCAAGTAGTTGGAGGAATCAATAAGCTTAACAATAAAAATTACAACACATGAGCAATGCGCATGAAGTCTTATCTACAAGGACAAGATCTTTGGAAGGTCATTGGCGGCAATGAAGTTACTCAGCCAATAAAAGACACTAATGACACTTTACATAAGTGGAAGATCAAGGCAGGAAAAACAATGTTTGCCCCGAAGGCCACAATTGAAAAAGAATTGTTGGAGCACATACGATAAACCACAACTCCGAAAGCAGCATGGGACACATTCGCCACAATCTTTTAAAAAAAGAACGATACAAGGCTATAGCTTCTTAAGAATGAGTTGTGATAGGCAAATAAATTTTCAAACTCAACAAGTGATGGTTGAGTTGGCCATCCTTGTACAACAGCAATAAAGTCTTGGTATTTGGGTCTCAAACCATGGACAATTATTCGTGTTATCTTGGATTCTAAAATGACAACAGTTGGGTCGAATTCAGAAATTTCATGGCGTATGGACTTTACCTTGTGGAAATAATGAGTAATTGTCATGTTTCGTTGTGACACCGATAATAGTTCATTATTGAGAAGCTGTAGCCTTGTATCGTTCCTTTTTGAAACGAGTGTGGCGTAAGTGTTCCATGCTTATTTCGGTATTGTGGCTTTTCTTATGTGCTCCAACAATTCTTCTTCAATTGTGGCCTTCGGGGCAAACATTGTTTTTCCTGCCTTGATCTTCCACTTACGCAAAGTGTCATTAGTGTCTTTTATTGGCTGAGTAACTTCATTGCCGCCAATGACCTTCCAAAGATCTTGTCCTTGTAGATAAGACTTCATGCACATTGCTCATGTGTTGTAATTTTTATTGTTAAGCTTATTGATTCCTCCAACTACTTGAAGATCACCCTTCGTGCCGGCAAAATTTCGATATGCCAAACAAGATTAGTCAGCAATCTTGCGAAGTACTAAACTTATCATGATTTCTGGAAGCTTCAATAGAGGCAGTCCTTGATCGTACACTTTGATACCAACTGATGGGAAAATTAGAGTACACAGATCTAATATTTAAGTGTTGGAGAGACAAAACTAATAAACAAATTACTTGTATTACACTCACAAAATATTAAAACACACATATTCTGAAAGACAAAATTTTAAAAACTATGACACTCTCTTATTTTCAAAAAACAAACTCTAGAAACTCACACTGCTCACTTTGAGTGTCACTCACTTCTAGCTTCTCTTGCTTCTTTCTTGCTTTACACAACGACGCACATATTTATAGGCAGTTTCCTGATCTAAGCATTGCTAGAACTTTCTAGGCAGTGTATTGATCATGCTCTGCCACCAACTTGGGCTTTTACATAATGGCCTAGTAGCTTCTAGTCTTTCTAGAAAAGACTACTATAACTTAGATGTTTCTAGACTAACAGATATTGTTGTGCATGAATTCTAGAATTCTTTAGTTTATTCTAGATTTGTGTAGAACTTTTAAAGGGCTAGGGTTTGGCCTATTTAACGATCTTTTCGTCACACATGCGATTGTTTGAAGAGTTCATTGAGACAACTCAAATCGGAAGTAAACAAGTGTGGATCCAAGTTTTCAGATTTGTTTCATTTTTAAGGCATTTTCACTTGTTGGGAGGTAAGGAATGGAAATCGGATCCACACAGTAACGGATTCATGAATTTTTTTCTTGGCTGGGCGAGGCATAAAAACTTGGTGCGATGTTCTTGCTTAGGTTTCCTTGTTAGTAGGCGGATCTTAGCGATGGCGGCAGCGGAGGGATGTTGAGAAAGGAAGTTTTGATGGAGAAATTTGTGCTAAGTGGGTGAATTTAAGTGAAATAAGTTTAAAATGGAGGAAAAAAGCCAAAACTAACTACTCTTTTAGGGCTCATTTGGAAAATGCTATTAAAATAATTGAAAGTGCTTTTGGTTAAAATATTTTTAGAACCAATTTATAGTAAAAACACAAGAAAATCCTGGAAAAGTATTTTAAGTGCCTTTCGGAAGAAGCTAGTGCTTTTAAAACTCAAAAACATTTTTTCGAAATACACTTTTAATCATTCTCAAGGCATTTCCAAATAAGTCCTTAATTATCATAAAATGATAAGAATCAAAATTAAAACTTATCTCGACGCAATACAGAGTGAAGAAAAAGGGGAAAACTGCAATACAGAGTGAAGAAAAAGGGGCAAACTGCAATTTCCAGTAAGTTAATGGGGAAAAGGGCTACGTGCTCAAGCACCACATGCTCTACTTTGCCTTCCTTGCAAGGTTCGAGTTTCGCGACCGCCTTACTTGATTACAAGTCAGGAACTCAACATCGTCTCGGATAAAACTCCACCAAATATAAGTTAGGGGAATCGTGGTGGCATGCCAGGCAGCATGAGCATCCAAGAATCCGTAATATGGAGGGAAGTCGTAGATTTCTAGGAGCATTGCAAGGCCTGCCCTCACTGCTACCCACCCACAGCTTCCGACGTGATGGATGGCAAGCGACGCCAGTCCAAATTGCCCAAAGAAGAAGTTGAACCACCGCCATGACAACACAAACCTGCATGTTCCACCCTGCAAAGTGTTTTGATTAGTTAGGTCAGATCATTCCACGTGATATTGCCATGCACGTCAAGAAACTACATGTTACCAAAATTATTTGAAGATTAAAGGAGGTGCAATTGATCAACATTCTCTCTCCCTCTCTCCAACTATACATTAATGAAAAAATTTAGTACAGTGCCATACCGTAATCCACTTTATAGAAGTTGAGATACAATATGTGGGTGGTTACGAACGCAAGCAGTGGAGCAGCAACCATCACTCTAACGGCGTCATCTTTCACTGCACATGAGTAGTCTAATTTCTCTGTCAAATCCACGGCCCCGTAGTTCATTAGACACATTAATGATCAAGAAATGCGCTAAGCGACCAAACTCCCCCATTTCCCACGTATTGTAATCAGAATAAAATTTACTTGCTATGGAAAACAGCACTCGCAAACCAGGAGGTTAATGATAAGAGAGCATAGATGTGCCATAAACTAGCATAATAACAGTATGTCTTCTTATCCCGTCTCAAAGGCAACTTGTTGTATAGAAGGATGAAAAAGGATATCCAACCATGAAAATGCATTGCAAGGTTGAGCACAGAGAAAGCTACGGAAGCAGGCTCCTAAAAAGGATAACGTGTCAAGTAGCACCAACCACAGAACCATGATACATACCTTTAGAATATATTGTAAAAGAAAATGTTGTCAAGGCAGGTAGTCCAAAAAAGGCAAACCTGGATCCCGTAAACGCGCTTGAAGGGCCATTTACCATGATATTTGACTGGACCGTTCCCAGCTGCTTCTCTTTCTTTCTCTCTGTCAACCATACAATAGTAACGGCAATCAGTTCGGCAATCCCATTGTTTCCACTGCTGATAAAGAGGTTCTTGCATGTACCATGGACTGTCAACAGAGGCCCCATAGGAAGAGAAATTGCAATGTGGAAAGCATCTCTGTGCTACACATCCGGTTTCTCCACATTCTTTTAGACAAGCCCTAAAATTGCAATTAATCATAAATCAAGTTCCAAATTCGCAATGTGAAATCTACATGACAAGTTACAAGTGAAGGCAAAATAACAAAATGTTGATTCCGCCAAAGAATTAATACTCAAGGAATTTGTACAACTTGGGAATAATCAAATTATTACAAATTAATTTCTAGTAAGGTACTTACCAAAAATAATTCCAACTGTGTAATAAAGATTGGTAAATTAGTTTTATGGAAGCTATTTAATTCAAGGGATGTTATGTATTAATTCATCCACTAAATTACTGATTAGTGAATCACCATATAGGAATTGCGAACACAAATATTTGAGGGAAAACAAAGCTCCCTGTTCGAGATTCAAATGAGCACTAATTGCTAATAACGGGGAGCCTCACACCCTGGAACGGTGTGGACGAAAACTGGCCCTTTCCAATAGAACTTCCAATGAAGACAAGCAATCTAGCCATTCAGGATTCAGCTGAAATTTCAGTCATTTGGAAGATAAATTGTGCATGCTAGAATAATTTAGTAGGCTACATTGTGTTCTAACTGATGAACAAGAAGAGGTGACAAGATACAGTTTTTAAACTTTAAACAAATACGAAAACCCTCAAAAAAAATACAAGTTGCATAACTCAATATGAACCATAAAAGAATATCTAAAAATGGATAAAACAATTATCTAAAAATGGCATTTAAAACTGTGAAGTTGACAGCCCATGACACCACCACGAAGAAAGCAACCCAATAATGCTTTAACATCTGAACATAGAATTGCTGATTGATAAGAGTCTAAAGGTATCAAAACTGACCGCTACAAGATGCCGAGATCTTCACTACTTCAGTGCATCACAATGCCATGATGTGGGTTAAACAATCATTTAATAATAAATAACATCATCATAATCTTTTCTGATATCATTCGTTACAAAAACCAACCTAGGCAAGAATGAAAAAAAGGAAATTTACAACCGTATACAGCGAAATGTCTGATCTTTTTGAAACTGGATCAGTTTAATTGGGTGCTGAGAAATTATTGACGGCTGTGATCGGAGAAACCATGGATGCGTGCGTACCTGGAGGGGCAGGATCGTGCCGGCAGAAGAGCGGTCAGCAGAACAGAATCGGAAGAGGGTTCGACATTCTTCGTTAACGCGAGAGGGTGAGCAGCTCAGGTCAAGTCAGGGGACGACGCTCAGGCGGTTTTTCAAAATTTGAGCGACAAACCAAGAACCGAACCAGTCAAATCCAAAATCGAAAATTTTGGTTTCGTTCGGCTCTGTCGTTCCGGTTCATTACGTTATTCAAAGCCCAAGTTCATTCCGTCATGTCCTGTCCAACCGGCCCACCAAACTGGCCCGGCCTTACACTCTTGATGGGCGGTTCAGATTAAACGCAAGAACTTGCTCGTTCATGGGACACACACGACACGCGATATTGAATTGGGATGGAAAAGGCAGATTAGGGTTTGGATTTCCTAGCTGAAAATTTCGAAAATTGAAGGAAGAGGCCGGAGGAGAGCGCTGCCGATTTCCAATTCGAAACGCATTCGGTAAAGGTAAGCTTCTGAACAAAGTGTTTGAAAGAAATTTCTGCTTCTGAATATTTCTGTACATTTCGGTGGTTTTTCATGCCTTCGATTTTACTTGTTTTGACCTCCATTTTGGATCCAATCGCTTCCTGCTGGAAACTGTTCTCTAGTTCTATTATATATATATACATATATATTTAAAGAATTATTAGACAAATTTACTGATTGCAGTCATTTCTTACCCTAACAGTGTCTTGTGATTTTAGGGTTTAGATATGGATGTCGAGGTTGATCACTATAAGGTTCTCGGTTTACCTTCCGGCGAGGAAGGCGCCAAGCTTACAGAGAATGATATTAAAAAGGCATATAGAGCGAAGGCTTTGGTGTTGCACCCAGACAAGAGGCCCGATGATCCCGATGCCCCGGCCAACTTCCAGAGTCTCATGTCATCCTATGAGATACTCAAGGATGAGAAGGCCAGGAAATTGTTTGATGATTTACTCAGAGTTAAGAGGGACCAGCAGCGCCGCCATTTGGAGCGCGATGCCAAGCGACAAAGGATGGTCTCTGATCTTGAAGCAAGAGAACGATCTGCCTTTGCTCCAGATGCGGCTGCCAGAGATAGAGCAGAAGAGGAGAGAATCGCTAGGAAGCTTAAAGAAGAGATTGAGAGAATACGCAAAAAGCATGCGAAGAAAGGGGCGGCAACTGCTGCTGCTCCTAAGAGAGAGACTGGTGGAGTTGGCAAGGAAAATGCGGGTGGTGCGAAGATGGGGTTGGATGAGGAGAAGATGCTTAAAGTTTCATGGGAAAATGTTGGTGAAGGTTATACGGCAGAGAGGTTGAGAGGTATTTTCTCGGAGTTCGGCGAGGTTGAAGATATTGTCATCAGGGGCAAGAAGAAGAGAGGTTCGGCTCTTGTTGTGATGGCGACTAAAGATGCAGCTGTGAGTGTGCTATGATTTTTAGATTTGCTCTTTATAATTTGAACGTCTATTTTCTTAATGTGCTAATTACTTATGATGTGTACTATTTGTAGGTTGCTGCAACAGGAACTCTGTTAGGTGATCTTTCTAATCCATTGCTGGTTATACCTCTTAAACCAGTTTCAGTGACTGATGCTCCACCGGTTCAGAGGCCTGAGGAGCCAGATCGACTTAATAATTTGGTTGGGGCTGGATATCAATCATTCGAAGATTCTGTTTTGGAGAAACTCAAAAAGGTTTGACTTGGATCAACTTTTCTTTATACCTAATCTAAAGATTGGAATTATCATGACGAGACATAATAAAATTTTACTTGCCATGTTCAATGTGGCCTCTTTTCTTTCCTTATCGAAAAGAGAAGTTACCTCTCTTACTTTTGATTGTACCGTCACTGCTGTTGTATTTTTGTAATTAGATGTTTCTGTTATACAATTTTTGCATCTTATCAATTTGAAGCCGAATATATGTTAATCAACTGGACCATTCACGGGCTATTATACCTGCTTGTAGTTGTAGTGTTAAAAGGACAATACAGATGCAGATGCTCAATTCTCTGACAGCAGTTTTATATTTTATTAAATCTTGATCTGCACTTACTTCAGTTCTGAGTCTTTGTCTGGTTTGTCTAATGTAGGCTGGGCAGAAGGACAAATAGTATTCGTTATCCCAAAAGCACTATAAGGTTCTCGTCTCGCGAATGGAGCAAAGGGAAAGCTTATCATTTCCCCCTGTGGTTGGAGCCAAGGTTGCTCAAGGCCTTTGAAAACGGTTGTTTGGACCTGTATCTCTTAACCAAAATCTATTTGTGAAAACTTACAAATAGGGAACTCTTACGTGCCTGCAGGCTAATATACTATAAAATTCTTGGATTTGTAGGGAAGTCATGGGTGTCCCTCGAGTCTCAAGATTGTGAAAGAGAAGTGTATTAAGTATTGACCGGTGTGCTGCTGTTGTAGTGATACATCACATTAGTTACCGAGAGCTCAGGACTAGCGTTGAATTGAGGTTTCATCTTGTGCTATTTCACACAAATCATTGTACACCTTATATTGTATCAATTCATGGTTCACTTTGGTTTTCATTTGTTTCACCATTTTTCGTTTATGTTCAACACTACGAGATTTGCATTCAGAACATCCTCAAATAAAGTGAAGATTAAATGTCGTTAGACCAAATGATCAGCAGGTAGTGCTTTTCACTGTTAATCCTCTGCTTCTATATATTCCTTGTTCATTAAGCAGATTTGAATGTTTTATGTTTTGTTGGGAAAAGTCATTGCCATTCTGGCGGCCGGATCTTATGATACAATATCATGTGTCGGTTTTTCATCACATTATGTTGCATTTTAAATTTGAATGTTACGTGGTGGTAATCTTTGCATGCAAGTCGCTCTCCTATTAATTCAAAATATCATGTATAAGTTGCTTTCCTAATGAAGAAGTAAACTCCTGGTTGTGTCCTGATGATCGAGGACAGGTGTCTGAGAGTTGGTGGTGCTTGGCTTGTAACTATGTAGAGTCAGCTCTCTTTAGGTTTAACAGCTTCACAAAAAATTGGAATTTTATTCGTTCGTAATTGTTGCAAAATGAAAAGGTTGTATTATTACATTTAACATACTAACAATTAATAATTTAACATACTAACGCTGAGTTAAAAAAAAAAAAAAATCGTACCATTGCATTTTCGATAGAGAAGTATGATATTTGGAAAAACATGATTCTGAAAATTCCGACCCTTTTCAAAGAAAAAGAATTGGACTTTCAAATTTCTTATGTGTTTCTCAAAATGATAATGATATTGGGGAAGATAAATTGAACTTAAAAATTCTAATGCGAGAGTTAGCGCTCTTGACCGCTTGAAGTACTTACCCTTTGCTCACTTTTATGTATATTTATCTATTTAACTATGGAATCATTGATTGTGCTTATGGGAAGACCACATGTAGTTTTGGGGCAAAGTGGACTTGGTTTAATGCCTACCATTGTGATAGAATGTTTCGCTTTTTATACATCGTGTCTCTCATGACCCCTTTCAAGCATGTTGTCATGGAAGTGAATCAGCTTTTCAAGCGAAAATGTTTGACGACTCTACTATTTTTTATTTTTACAAATGATAAGATAATTTACATTAAATTCTAATAAACCAAGAAGAGCTGATTCTAACAAGGAATTTCGGATGCATGGGCGACACGAGTAATTCAAAGCGAAAAATTGCACCAAATTTTGATTGTTTGTAGACTGTTTGCTAGGCGCTTTAAAATTTCTACAAAAGAAAACAAAAAATCAAATACAATGATTATTTTTTTATGTCTCATGACTCTCAACTGAGTAATGTTCATATTATTTTTTATTAAAGTTATATCGTACACTAATTTATATTGAAAGAAAAAGTAGAGTTTGAACTCCAGATGAAATGAGTATCAAAAAGTTGATTTCACACATTATTTTTAACATTCACATAATCCCCTTTATTTTTAACCGTCGAATTAATAACTAAAAAATAACAAAGATATTAAATAAGCAAAAAATGAGAACTTTTGTTTATAAGAAAAACAGCAAAAAGGAACTCAAAAGAGTGATTATATAATTAATATAATTATATGATAATTTCGTGTATTATTATTTAAACAGAGATCAATAACCTTTGCCTCGTCGCCGCCCACCAAAACCCCACAAAGCTGTCCTAAAATCCCCTTTGCGTCTTCTCTCTGCTCAAAACCCCCAAAGCCTGCGTGCGCTTCCAACATCCAGGTTGCAGAAAACGAAAACCTTCTGTCTCCATTTCAATGGCGGCAACCGGCCCGTGGCAGCCCAAGGAAGAAGGGTTCGCGGCGATCTGCGGGCTGCTGGAGCAGCAGATTTCGCATTCGGCTTCCTCCGCTGACAAGTCTCAGATTTGGCAGCAGCTCCAGCACTACTCTCAGTTCCCCGATTTCAACAACTACCTTGCGTTCATTCTCGCACGTGCCGAGGTATGCTCCTCCTCCCTCCACTTCCCCCCAACTGTGTATTCATTTCCAATTTGAGTCAGTAGGGTTTGTGTTTTTGTTTTTCAATTTTATTTTTTTATTTGATTTGGACGGATGTTGGTCTGATTGGATTGCATACTTAGAAATCGATAGTCGTTTTTCGAGTGAATGGGGGAATTGTGGGTTTGGGTCTGATGGAAGATATGAGTGCTGAAGCAGTAGGCGTTAGAATTTTTGCTTCGCAATTTGGATTGTTCTGATTGTATTTGGTTTCGGTTCTCTTGATTTTGAGAGTGGTTTTCAGCTGGTGAAACCGGAAAAGCCTTGGAAACTAAAGAATGTTTGTCCACAAATCCTTGTTAATGTAAAAACTGTTTGCTGTGATTAAATAGTTGGATAGTTTACAATCCTGATGCGTGCTAACATGTGTTTTGAAGAAAATGTGATTTCGTGTTTGTGGTTGTTGGTTAACATAGCATGACACTTTCAGTTTCTATGTGCTGATGGAACTTTGAATTTGGGTAAATTGTGGATAGGGTAAATCGGTGGAGGTTCGACAGGCAGCGGGATTGCTTTTGAAGAATAATCTTAAAAATGCTTATACTTCCATGGCTCCTGCATACCAGCAATATATAAAATCGGAATTGTTGCCTTGCTTAGGAGCAGCAGACAGACACGTCAGATCTACAGTTGGGACCATTGTAACCGTTGTTGTTCAGCTAGAGGGAATTTTGGGGTGGCCTGAACTATTGCAAGCTCTTGTAAATTGTTTAGACAGTAATGACCTAAATCACATGGAAGGTGCTATGGACGCATTATCCAAGGTAAACACAATGCTTACATTCATTTCCCATGCATATTTCCCCAGAGTTCCTTTGTTTTGGAGATACATTTGTGTTCCTTTCTCTTTGTTCTGCTGTGATCAACTCTGCCTATGAGTTCATGATTGGTTAAGAATATTGGGTGAAGGATAATCAAATGTTTTCCAGCGAGTTGCTTATATCTTGATACATTTGTAGCTGTCTGTTTTGATGAAAAAAATTCTGCCAGCTGAAACAACAGTACAGCTTTTTGTTTTTCAATTGGCCTTTCTTGCAAGAAGTGCTTTAACTTAAACAAAGTCGCACCGTAATTTAAATGCTATAATGCTATGATATTTTCCCTATAAAAAGGTTTTGTTATCTTGAACCACCGCACACTGGGAGAATAGATTTCAATAGGATCCGGCTCTTAGTCTACAAAGGGCTATTTGTTTGCGGTATGAGAGAGTATCCTTTCTTATTGTCAGTTGTTTTGAAAAGACTGTGTTCAAGCTTTTGTGTGCATCAAACCCTCTGTTTTTTATCTTCACCCCTTACCAAATTAAATTCAGTGAAGGCGTTCATAGGGACCATTTATGTTATTTTGGTATCACCTTATGATAGCACCTAACAAGAACAGACATTGTGACAACTATAGTAGTTCCTAACCGTAGCTCTTAATACTAATGGCACAATCAGAACTTATTAATTTTGACAACATCGATGTTGTGATGTATCACAGATTTGTGAGGATATACCTCAACTGCTTGATTCAGATGTACCTGGATTGCCTGAACGTCCCATCAACGTTTTCTTTCCAAGATTACTTAAGGTAAAAATAAGAGTGCTGTATTGTGTTAGACCCTCTCCCTCCCCCTTTCTCTATTCACTTATATTATGAACTTTTACTGATGATTTTTTTCTTTTTGGCCTGGTTGGCTGAACCTGGCATCCCTTTACACAGTTTTTCCAATCGCCACATGCATCACTTAGAAAGCTTTCCTTGGGTTCTGTAAATCAATATATTATGTTGATGCCAGCTGTAAGTATATCTCAAACCTTTCGGTACCATTTCAACCTTTTTCTGATGATTGGTGGTGGGAGCAATTATGTATCTATTCTATTTCAGGCGTTGCATGCATCTATGGATCAATATCTTCAAGGTTTGTTTATCCTTGCTAATGACCCGTCTTCAGAAGTGAGGAAATTGGTGAGTACATAAGCACTGATTTATCTTATCTAGGTTGAATCTGAAGCTAAAGGTATTGCATGGAAGTTGAATTAGTGGTTCCACATTTCAAATAAAAAGATTTCCCTTCACAGTTAACTTCCATTCACGATTTAATTGCTTGCTACTCAGTCTTACAATCAAAGAACACTCCTATAATGGATATACAATGTTGCTTTCATAGTTTATCTTTGTTCTCATCTGCTTTTTGTTTTCTCTGTTCAACAGGTTAGTGCCGCATTTGTCCAACTAATTGAAGTCCGTCCGGCATTCTTGGAGGTGACATATTGCTCTGTCATTATAGTTTTCCCCTGGTTTGTGTCATTTCAATTATGTCTATGTGCTACATGCATATGTTGTGTCTAATATGGTATAGAACAAAATTGAATTAATCCTATATGCACATTCTATCAGGCATCTTACTTAATACTTATATAAGCTATCTTTTGGGTCGGTACATAATTATATACATATATATGTGTAGCGTGCATGTATATGCAGACAAACGCATCATACACACACATGCATGTATATATGTGTGTGCATGTATATACATATATGTGTGTGCATGTATATACACATATATGTGTAGCGTGCATATATATGCAGACAAACGCATCATACACACACGTGCATGTATATATGTGTGTGTATATCAATGTTTTAAAAGACTTGCCTCAGGGCGCCGCCTAGTTGTCCTCTGAGGCTGGGCGTGAGGTTTGCCGCCTCTGTTTTGAGGGAGTGGGCCGAAGGCGTTGTGGGAGCCACCTAGGCGTGCCTCAGGGGCTTTTTTATTTTTTATTTTTTAATTTTTATACTCCCAAACCCAAATTTTGTGTAGGTTTTAACTACCTCATACATCTTCCTTTCACTATCGTCTCTCTACCTTTTTTTCTGATTTTTATTTTTTTTTATATAATGGATGTGTGTGCTATCTGCATGCATTGTTATATGTGTGCTCATTGTGCTTTTCATCCTCTATTATATATATATATATATATGTGTGTGTGTGCTCAGGGTGATTATTGATTAATATTTTTTTTTAATATAATATATGTGTATATTAAAAAATTTAGGTCCCATGA